TTATATGTTATATGTTATATGTTATATGTTATATGTTATATGTTATATGTTATATGTTATATGTTATATGTTATATGTTATATGTTATATGTTATATGTTATATGTTATATGTTATATGTTATATGTTATATGTTATATGTTATATGTTATATGTTATATGTTATATGTTATATGTTATATGTTATATGTTATATGTTATATGTTATATGTTATATGTTATATGTTATATGTTATATGTTATATGTTATATGTTATATGTTATATGTTATATGTTATATGTTATATGTTATATGTTATATGTTATATGTTATATGTTATATGTCCCCTTTGTTAGGGTATAAACTGGTATAAACACAAAACAACGACGTACTCTGCGCTGATGCACAGCATAATTAAAAACCTCGCCCTGGCCCTGTGTCTGGGCTATACAAAAAATACAGTCCAGTAAAAAGTGCAGGCGAATATTTTAATGCAATCAGCCGGCCGCAAATGGAATTTATGGCAGATATAATTTATTTTTGGTTTAGTGTACAAATAATAAAATATCTACAGATATATATATGTGTACATATGTACATATATATTTATGATCAAAGGGAGAGTTTAATCGCACTTGGAAATGGCTAGGCTAGATGGGTTTAATGGATTGTAAGAGCAATATTTTGCATATCAGTAAACAAATATTGTTTCGAYGTGTATTAAAGGTAAAAGGGGAAAACCAACTATTATTCTAATATAACTTCTTTCTAAAGTTTTTCCAGACGTGTCTGTATTATATAGTTGTTGAACCCCTAAGCTTACGCTTGCCTACATAAAGATTACCATTAAGGTAATTCGCATAAGGCGCCACCTTACACACACACACATAAAACAGAAACTTCCATTAAACTGTTTTACCTGGGAACACAAAGAGGCAGAGAAGGAAGAGAACTAAGTAAAAGGAAACTTGGCAAGCAATTCAGCGACGATTATTTTTGATTGTGGTACGAGCCGTGGGGATCTCTTTTAAGAGGGAACCTGAGGAGGAGCAACAACTACAAAACGAAGGCCATTATATTTGGGCACTAATTGAAGCAATTTGAGAAAACACCTCGACAAGACAGCAGCAGGAACAGCTCCACTTTGAGGCGGGCAGGACACGGAATCAATAAGCAGTCCAAAGCAGCCAGCAACATCATTAAACTCATTTGGTTTGTTCTGGTTTTCATTGTTGTTGTTGYTGTTGCTGTTGTTGTTCGCGATGTTCAGGCTGTTGTTGGTTGGAGCTTTTGGCAAATCATATGCCAGTCACATAGCCAGCGACGTGTTATGATACACCACAAAGTCGGAGCCACAAAGTCAACCACAAAGGCTGTCAGGCAGGCGCTTGAGTCTTTCTACCAKCCAACCAAGCAACGAACAACGAACARCCAACCAGTCAGTCGGTGCGTCAGTGCGTCAGTGAAGCAGAATCGATTTAATTTGTTGTTGCAACCAGAGTCCCAGCTCGCTGCGTCCCTCTCGCTCTGCCYYTTCCGCTCTCTCCCYCTCTTCCTCTTCAAAGGCGTCGATTAAAGAAATATGCGCCCCCGGTACGGCTCCGTTCGATTCGGTTTATTTCGTCTTGATTGCGCTGACGTGAGCGAAAAAGTCAAGCGCAAAGCTGTGTATGGA